GGAACATGACTTACTGAAATTTGATTATAGTTCTGTTAAATATCAGCTTTTATAATTCTGCAGGAAAGTTATTTTTCACTTCTGGTTTCACACAACTTCCACATAGGCAGATAAGCTAATCTATAAGGTGTTAAAATTTCCACTCTGAGTGAACTGAACCATACTTTTGCTTTAATATTTCAAATATCAGTTTTATTTATATTTCTAGAAGTCTGAAATGCAATTATCCCATGTTTTGGGTTTTTTTTTTTATTTGAATACAATAAAGAAGCAGACTCCCTCTCTTAAATCTTGCATTCTTTCTTTTTATAGGGACATATTGCCTATAGCATAATTTATCAGTGAGAAAGATGCACATTGCAGTCTCTATCACAACAGTGGGAACAAATTTGATGTTGGTTAGAATAATCTACACAACAGCTTCCAACACTTCCACCACTTATTAACACTCCCTAAATTATTTCACTAACACTAGTTACTTCCTAAATAGCAATCACTGAGGCTACAAGGAAGCTAAATTTAATAGAAATCGATGTTCCTTTCTATATGCAAACTGCATGATACATAATTGGAACAGATTTAAATCAGAGCAAGCTATTATTCATACACATAAACCCAGAAACATCAGCTTAATTATGGAATGTAAACTAGGTAATACAAGCCAGATTCAAATAAGTCAATTAATTAATCACGCTTAGGGAATTTTTGATTAGTGTGACAACAAAACAAAGCATCATCTTTTAAAAGAAAAAAAAAAAAAAACACTTCTAAAAATTTATTCCTGTCAAAAACACGAAGCCAAATTAGTCAATTAAACAGCAGAATGCTGCTCATGTAGGGCTGTACAGGCTAAGCGGTACCATTGCATGGGATGGTTCCACATAGCCTGCTACTATCACCCTTCAGAAAACACGGAGGAGCTGTTCTAGTAGGAAAAGCTGCCCAGGCTGCCAGACACTGTAAGCTAACATGCTAATGCACAGCTGAGCTCTCCAGTTACTGCCATCAAAAGGCCAGTAGTAGATGCTGCTGCTGAGCAAACTAATTCTGAAGTATTCCATAACTAGCTTATGGTAGATATAAATCTACATACTGATATGTGCATTTGAGAACAGAATTAGATTTTAACTATCTCACTTACACGTCGTCACGAAAGCTGAGGGCAAATCTCCCAATTGGCTCAGGATCTGACTGACTACTGTGAGAAGATCCTGATGGAGGTGAATATTTCCCTTCTAAATAGGATGCACAGGTATCAGAAAGCCTGTAAAGGTGGGGAGGAAAAACACACAACAGAATCATTCTAATCTGCACCTCTCCTGTTCTCCAAATAATTGGAAAAAATAATCATATTGATGGCCACTCATCTCCTATAAGTTCAATTATTTGAATATTTTAGCATTTTCTAGCCAATCTATATTTACAGGTACACACATGTACCCTGAATGATCCTCTCCACTCTTCTGTAGCTCTTCAGGGAAATATCACATTATCATTTTTAGTGGCTAGGGCTGTCCCATTTGGAATGCACACTTGTGGAAAGACAGGGTATAAAAGTCTGATCTTGTTAAGTCACAGGACAGCAGTTAAGTGAGTAAAGGCTTCTAATTGTTACTCTTTGCTCTAGCCCTTGCTGAACAAATCATTATAAATTGTGTTAAATTTTAATTTGTACCCATAACACTAGTTTTTACACTACCCTTTCTAAAATTAGCCCGATTCAGATAAGTTAAATGAATAGTAACAGACTTAAGAGAATATACATGTTAAAAATGTATTACTCCCTGTATGGCTTCAAACTTGAGTATACTACGCTGAACATCTGAGTTAAAAGAAACTTGATTGTTATAAGTCTAAAAACAACACTTTTTTAATGGGTAATTTCAATAAAAGTTAAGTATTTTATGAGTTACTAATACAATGCAGGTTTTTTCACTGCTAATATAATCAATCCTATGTTTCCTGACTAGCGTGCTACTGATTAGTATATAGTTTTACTATTGACCAAATAATCTGTCAAAAGTATTTTTCTTCTCTGAAGTTAAATGTTTCAAACCAGTCACCTGTTTTTTACATTAGTAAGTGGTATTAGCTCACCTGTTGGCACAGCCCGTTTTACTCCTGGCAACAGTTGAGGCTGCAACAGGTAAGCCAGGGTTTGAAAAAAGAGTAACATTTTCTAAAACGACACTTGCACTGCTATTCAATGAATGGCCCAAGAAGCTTGGAAATGTCTCATCGGCAATATTTCTGAAGTCTTCCATCATGCTGCACAAGTTGCTTAAAATAGCACTCTGCTTGGCAACACGATCAGCCCTGGTCCAGCAGCATCTGAAAACAGGAACAAAACAACTATACAGTTACACAAGTCACAGTTAACGCCGTCAAAAACACGTTATTTATACATCGCAGCCAATACTCTTTGGCAATCACCCCACTTTATCCACAAACTTGCTTAAAAATCATTTCCAGCCCTCTGCCCCCAAGCCTTCTGGGGGGGAACCAGAGTTTTATAGCCTTCCTGGACTTTCTAAAAAGAGCAACGCTCCTGCAAGTTAAGAGCACCGGCGCCGCAAGACGTGCCAGCCTATATTTAGCCTGTAAAGCTGCTTGGACCCAGCCAGCCTTCCTCCATTTCCACAGCGGAGAGCACCTGGGCAGCTGCGAACGCCGTGACGCGATCGCCTCCGGCCGCCGCTCGCCAGGCGACAGCCTAACGCTACGGATCTCAGCAGGGAAGGCCCAGACCCTACCTCCCCCTCAGCACTCCGTGCAGGCAGC